ATCCATCCATCCATCCATTGTGTCAAGCACATTTGTATATTTGTTGCCATCATTTTCCAAACATTTTCTTTCTACTTGAGCCCTTGGTATTGGCTCCTTATTTCACCTCCCCATCTCTCGGTCAAGAACCCTTGACAATTTATAATTTATTATTATTCTTTCATGTCTTACATCGAGTGATATCAGTCACCCTTTACTCACTTTTCTTTTGTTCTCTTCCTGGGAGGGGGTTAATGTCGATCATTCTGATCAGGTCCCCCTTTCTCCTCCCACAGTACCTTTCCACTCCTGGTATGACTACTCTCTTTATTGATCCTAAGGGGTTCATTTGTCCTGGATTACCTGTGTTTCCAGCTCTTATCTGTACCATGTATGTGCTCTGGTCTAGGGGGATATGTAGGGTACAACTGGGGTCATGATAGTGGGGAGGAGGTAAGCGTTAAAGTACTGGAAGAAAGTTTGTGTTTTATTGGTGTTGTACTACATGCTGCCTGGCTAATCCCTTCCTGTGACCCTTCTGTAAGGGGAAGTACAATTGTCTACAGATGGGCTTCAGGTCTCCATTCTGGACTCCCCCTCGTTCATGCTGATCTGATTTTTCATTCTGGTTCTTTCATGTCTGAAACCTGATGCCATCGGCACCTCATGATTGCATAGGCTGGGGTGCTTCTTCCATGGGGACTTTTCTGCTTCTCAGGTAGATGGCCATTTGTTTATCTTGAAGACCCCAGACACTATATCTTTTGATAGCTGGGCACCATCGACTTTCTTCACATTTGCTTATGCACCCATTTTGGCCTCAGCAATTGTGTTGGAAAGATGAGAGTCATGGAATGCCAACTTCTTAGAACAGCGGCTCTCAACCTGGGGTCAAGACCCTTTTGGGGCTCGAACGATCCTTTCACAGGGATCATCTGATTCATAACAGTAGAAACATTATAGTTATGAAGTAGCAATGAAAATAATTTTATGGTTCGGGGGGTCACCACAACTGGTGGAACTGTATTACAGGGTCGCAGCATTAGGAAGTTTGAGAACCACTGCTCTAGAAGAATAGTGGACACACAGAATCCACGATAAATTTAGGAACAATATTGGGAGTAGTGATACCATAAAGATATGAGGAGGAATGGGGATTTCAGGGCCTGTGGCTGTGCTAATGTGGAGGGGCAGGCCTGGGAGGCAGAGATACTCAAACCTCACTGCTGTCTCAGAGCCACCCTGTATGACAGGTGAGAACTGCCCCTGTGGGCGTGAGTGTGTAATTCTTTATGGGAGTGACGTTCTCATCTTTCTCCCAAGTAGCAGCTGGTAGTTGCAAACTACTGCCCTTGTGGTAAGCTGTCCAACTTCATCCAGATGATCCAGAAGTGTCCACCAGGGGGACGGATTATTTCAACTGGCAAAATGCCAACGACATCCAACTCCACTTCATCCACACGAAATCTTCATGACTTGTGATTTCTTTGTTTCTTGTAAAGTATGTATGTAGGAAGACCAATGAAGAATCGATGTCTCTGAATGACGGTGCTGGCAAAGAGTATAGAAAAGACCTCGGACTGCCAAAAGAGGGAACAGATCTGTCTTGGAAGAAGGATGGTCAGAATGTTCCTTAGAGGCAAGGA